CTATCTAATGTTTTTACCTTATAGACGTTGTACATATATTTTTTCCTTTATCGTTTGAGTTATATACGCCCGTTTTCAAAATTTTAAATTGCAAAATGTGGGGAAATTTTTTGTATTTTTATTATAAGTATATTTTATGTAATAATATAAATTAAAAACAAATAAGATTACATAAATATATTGTGGAGATATTTGATTTATTAGAGAGAGACATTTTAGGAAATCTTTTTGTTGTAATAAATATTTGTTTCCAATTTTACAATTTGCTTGTGATTTAATTACAAAAATTTACTTTTAAGTTTTGTTATTTATTCAATTGGCAAGGGTTTGATTATGCAAATATTATAAAATAAAAGGTTATAAACCTAAATAGATTTTAGTACCAAATGTACTTCAAAAATGTATATATAGATACCAAATCTCTTACCTATTTCTTTATCTATTAGGACTAATATATGCAATCACAAATAGGTAAATTATTATAATTACATGGTTATGGTATGAGAAAATATGACATATATGGGGCAGGACAGATTTTCTGTCCTGACTTAAACATACCACCTTTCTCTTTTTGTTTTTTAGCTCTCTTTATTTAAAGCAAAACAAATTCGACTATTCCTTTCGTCTAAACTGAACAAAAATCAAACATAATACTAAATTGGTATGAGTATGAATGTTAATTAAAAAATATGTCTACAAACATTACCTCACACGTGTATAATATATTGCAAACTTGATTTGTAAACTTAGTTTTTGCATTATCATTTATAATTGACACATGTGACGATCTTGTTAATGGCTGACTTTGAAAACCAAGGTTTATATAATAAGATATATGGTGTTTCCTTAAACCGAGACAATTGATCTGTTATGGTCTGAACCGAACCAAACCGAGAACCAGATTTGAATTTAATTTTGTGATCGGGTTATCTCATGAGAACCGAAAACCAAAGTACAAGGGAGCCCATGACTAATTTACCTTCAACCAACCATACAATGATTATTGAATTATCACTTCCACATAAAACCAAAAAATGATAGCTCGATCAAATTCGCAAAATATTAAACTCAATAGTAATAGCTAATTGATGATTTCTGGAAATATAGTTAATGAACCCCATTAGTTGTTTGACATGGATACGACTTATGAGTACTGTTTATTAATTTCATTCATTTATGTTGACACTTATTATGACAGGAAATGTCTTGTTCAAATCTATTTTAGGGGAACAAAATAAATAGTAAAAGATTGCTAGGAGTTAGAACATATTATTTTGTTATATGTAAAACAAAGTAACAAGAGTTTCCCTAAAATAGATTAAGTTGACGGACACGGTGGTGAACCAATGAATTGTAACATCAATAATTAAAGAAGGTTTAACCAATCATTCTTCTATTACCTCCTGCCACAACTATATTTGCATCACGCCATTGTTCTTAAGCTAAAAACCAAACCCTTTCAATCTCAATCTAATTTTCAATCTTCCTTTTTTTGCCTCTCCTTACAAATTACTCAATTTAAAGTTCAAATTAGGAGAACAAGAACGTGGTAGTACTATTTTCATAATGTTCGCCGAGGCGGATAGCATTCCTAGGGCAAAATATGGCAACATGATGCATTCTGACCCAAATCTTTCTTCCACGATGACCCAACAAACAGAGGAAGAGTATGGCGTACGCAACAGCAGTGCATCTGCGGTTGGCACGGGCATGTATGATAGAATGAGTTGTGAAGGTTCACCTATGATGATGTCTCCTTGGAACCAAGCTACTCCATTTACTCAAACACAATGGTCTAGTGTTGAAGAAAATCTACCCCAAAATGGCCTTATTGGTTCGCTTGTTCGTGAAGAAGGGCACATTTATTCTTTAGCTGCCACCAAAGATCTTCTTTATACTGGTTCTGATAGTAAGAACATACGTGTGTGGAAGAATCTAAAGGAGTTTAGTGCATTCAAATGTAACAGTGGATTGGTAAAGGCCATTGTTATTTCAGGCGAGAAGATTTTCACAGGTCACCAAGACGGAAAGATTCGAGTTTGGAAAGTCTCCCCTAAGAACCAAAGTTTGCACAAACGCTCTGGAACATTACCAACTTTGAAAGACATATTCAAGGCATCTCTTAAACCAAGAAACTATGTTGAGGTGAAGAAACACCGCACTGCTCTTTGGATCAAACACGCTGATGCCGTTTCATGTTTGAGCTTAAACATTGAACAAGGATTGTTGTATTCAGCTTCATGGGACAGGACCATTAAGGTGTGGAGGATTGCTGATTCAAAATGTCTAGAATCGATTCCAGCTCATGATGATGCTGTAAACTCAGTGGTGTCAACAACAGAAGCAATTGTATTCTCTGGATCAGCTGATGGTACAGTCAAGGCATGGAAGAGAGACCAACAAGGAAAACACACAAAACATACATTAATGCAAACACTAACTAAACAAGAGAGTGCAGTCACAGCTTTAGCTGTAAGCAAGAATGGTGCGGCTGTGTACTTTGGCTCGAGTGATGGTTTGGTCAACTTTTGGGAGAGGGAGAAGCAATTAAACTATGGTGGTGTTCTCAAGGGCCACAAGCTTGCTGTCCTTTGCCTAGAAGTGGCAGGGAGTCTTGTCTTTAGCGGATCAGCTGATAAGACAATATGTGTGTGGAAGAGAGATGGAAATATTCATACATGCCTCTCAGTATTAACTGGTCACACAGGTCCTGTAAAATGTTTGGCTGTAGAAGCTGATAGAGAAGCCTCAGAAGGTCCAGATAAAAAATGGATTGTATATAGTGGAAGCTTGGATAAGTCAGTTAAAGTTTGGGGAGTTTCAGAATCTTTCATTGACATGAACCAAATGGGTATGATGCAGCAACAACATGTTATATCACATTCTGAGCCTTTCATGTCTGATGGCAGTTTCTCTTCATCAGCTGGTGGAGCTAGCAGTCATCGAAGACAGTAATCATGGTTTGTGGTTTGTCCTTCAAAATACAACTCTATTTGAATTATTCATTTGTTTAATTGTTAAATTTGAATGAAAAAAAAAGAAATAATAAAAAAAAAATCTAGTTTTATGGTGCAATATTGTACAATATGGAGTTGAGTTTGAACTACTTTTTTGGGTTTATTATATAACGGTTTGTTGTAATTTTATGATATTTGTGATGAAACATGTAACTCTCTTTCAAACTTGATAATAACTATTATTGTTGTAAACGTAGATAGTAGTGTGGGTAGGCATGTCAATTAGGGCTAAAGCCCGCGGGCTAGTTTGGCCCGGCCCTGAAAAACATCGGGTTCGGGCTTAAATATATATGTCCAGAAAAAACCGGGCCTTTTGGGCTAAGCCTATTCGGGCTAAAGGGTTTTTTGGGCTTAGCCCGGTCGGGCTCGGGCCGGTCCGAAAAGCCCTTATACAAATATATTTTGAATTTTTTGAATATTTTAGTTTGATTAAAAGATTTGATTAACGTTATAGTTTTCATATTTACTTACTAGTCTTACTTATTACTTTTAAAATCTTTATACAAAGCTAAAACTAAATATATATAAGTATCATGATTTTGAAATCATCAAAATTTCTATTAAATTTTGACTCTATCTTATACTTTAAAGTATTTTAGTTCCATGTTTTATTGGGTTAAAGTGTAAATAATTTATTTGGCTTTTATTTTTTTTTCTTAAATTAAGTTAGTTTTATTGAACATTGATAAGTTATTTAAAATTTGATGCATTATTTTTATAGTAGACCTTTAAATATAGTTTTGAAAAAACTATTATGAACTTAGAAATTGATTTTTTTATCGGTAAATAAAGCCCAAAAAAGCCCGAAAAGCCCTGTAGCCCTGTTAGGGCCGGGCCGGGCTTTGAAATATAGGCTCGGAATTTTTTCGGGCCGGGCCGGGCCGGGCGAGCCCGATTGACATGCCTAAGTGTGGGCACATCTGTATGTGATTTCTTGGCATCTTTCATTGTTGTTAATTCCATATAACAATCGCTCAAATTATATTTTTAAATATTATACTGAAATAATAGTATACTTTACATGTTTTTTCATTTACCAACAACAATGTAGCTATTCACAAATAATATTTTCTTGTAAGTATTTAGTATTTGTTTCTCGATTTTTCAGAAATTGTATGTTCTTAAAGAGAAGGTTTTTGGTAAAACGGAAATTCTAGAAATTTGTTCATCACAAAGTAATATTAAAAATATATATATTTTCAGCCAAAATATGTTCATCCAGTGGTAAGAGAAAATTGGGAAAAGATTGGAAGGAACTAACCCAGATTCGATCCACCTTGCAAACAAAAATAATTATTGTGTGGAAAGTCTCTCAATTGGGCCAAGATCCAATTGGTTTACCTGGTAGTCAGAAATGCATGCGGTCTAATTAGCCCCTAGCATTCGTCGGAAAGCATTTCAAACTCGGAATATACAGTATGGTGGCCCTTCGAGGAGAAGTCCACCGAGGCTGACCGGATCAGCCGATAGAGTTATCAAAAAATAATTAAAAAAATAAAAATGTATCTTTTATTTAAGGTTATGTTCTAGTTCAACTTACACAGAAGAAGTTTTTTTTTTTGTAATTTTCATATTTGCTTTAGTTAAGAGGCCATGAAGAAGGTAGAATGTCAAGAAAATTTCAATGCGGTTTTTGTCATGAAACATGTATTGAATGTTTGGCGGATGTAGATAAAACGCATAGTGGTACAAGAAATATATAACATTCAAAAAAATAATTTGTCTTTATATTTTTTATTTCAAAACAAAAATAAATAATAGACGGAAATGTGTGGTTTGATACATAATTTTATGAAAATTTAATTTACAATTATTCCTTTTCATACAAAATCGCAAACATTCGTACACAAATGTTTTGACATGTAAGTTACAATTAAAAATTAGATAAATATTAAATTATAATTACTAGATTATGTGGAAATATTTTGTTTTAGAATTTACTATCTTAAATATAATAAATAATGTAGTTAGTTTTCTTACAATTTTTTTTTTTAATGTGTAACTTTAGATTGATTACTTTATAGTATGTCATTAGCATTCCCAATTCACAAAGGTAATTTTTAGTTTTAATATTCATAATTTATATTTAATTTTAATATTGGCTAGCTTTTTAAGACTATTTTGGTGTGTGGATTGTTTTGGTTTCTAATCATCTAATATTGTTTAAGTAATTCTTTGGTTCCTGCTAGCGCTGGTGGTTTGTATAAGGTGTGATATCTAGGTCTATAGCTCTTCCGGTCTAATTGGTACATTTCAGTGTTTACATGTTCTATGAGGAAACTTAGTTTAGTGGGTAATATCAGCTCACCTAATTATAATATTTTTAATTAATCACACTTAAACCAAAGCTTAGACAAACTAACCGAATAAATCGAGGAGTCAATTTATTTTATGTTATTTGTTAAAAAGAATCTCATTGATAGATTATTGTTTGTATTTTGGTTTTGTAATCCCGACCGTCACCTCTTTTAATGGGATCTATGTTTTCTTTCGTCCCATAGGAACTCTTCTTAGTGGTCCCAATGTTCGGTTCCGGCCCATTGTCCACCTTTTAATGGGTCTATGTCTAATGCTTGTATGTGAGTCTACCCATATCCGACGGTCGGTTTGCTATCACGAGGTTTAAAATTTATTTACCGATCTTACAAATCACCACATGATATTTTTCCGTGTTTTAACCTCACTCACATAGTTCCGACAATAACTTCCTGGAAAGTCACCCATACATAGACTACTCCAGCATAAGCACGTTTAACTGTGAAGTTCTCTTAGGACCTTTTGCCCGAAAAGATAAGTGCACTTTGATGACATATGTGGTCAAATCAATTCATTTAAACTTCTTTGCAACCTAGGGTCACTAATGTTTTTTCTACTGTAAACTTATATTGATCAATTTGAAAAAAAAATAATAATAAACTAACCCTAAAGCAAATCAAAATTTAATTTTGATTTCAATGAGTATTTCTAAACCGTAACCCAATTTTTTTTACCAAAGCCATACCGGTTTTTTATCTTTTTGGCAACAACCCATACCATTGAAATCATATGTCCATACCTACTTAAACAATTAACAATACCAAGTCACCAACTATTATCAACACAAACCTCCTTTTGTTCTCTGTAAAATATATACTCCCTCTGTTGCCAATTAACATATTTTCTAGATTTTTTACACCAGTTAGAAAAAAAAATTAAAAACTGAATTTAAATGGATTTTTTTTTTTTTTGTGATTTACAGTTTACTCTATGTTTTGATTAACAAAACTTATTATTTTTCTTCAAATTTACAATCATCATCAATAAATAACTAAAACTGCATAGATAAAATAAAAAAATATATTATTCCTAGAAAATAGATTAATAAGGACAAGAATATATGTTTTATAGTTGAAAGTTAAAAAACAAATTCAGAAAAAACAAATTCAGAAAAAACAAAGAGCTGATATTGTAATTTAACAGAGTGAAAAAACAGAGGATATTTATAAATTAATTAATTTTAAAAAATACCCAAAAGAAAATAAAAAAAGAAATTGAGTAAAGCGATGAGAAACGTGTGTTCACAGATATTTGATAAAAACTAAGTAAATCCATCTCTGGCCGTAATTGGCTGTGTAGCCACACCCTCCTTATCCAAAATCTCCTCCTTCCTTAAAACTAAGCTTCCCCTTCTCTGGCTTCTCCTTTCTTTGAGTCGCTTCACTTCTCTTTGCATCCTTCAAAATCATCCACAGGTATCTCTCCGACCCTTCTTCAAATCCGATCATACCCATTTCTTGAATCTGCTTAATTCACTCTTTTTCTCTCTTTTTTTTTTCTCAGCAAGAAATGGCGACAGCAGCAGCACCAGCAGTGATCTCATGGACAAGATCAGGCATCGTGTCCAAATCCGGACAAACCCAGAAGAAAACCGAGATGAAAGTTTCTTACATAACAGGACTTAATTCGTACGGTGGTCTTAAGGCACAGAACAACAAGGTTGTCTCAATGGGATCACCACTTTGCACAGAACAGTGTTTTGCTAATGTTGTGATGTCTCTCAAGGGAAGAAGAGGCAATGGAGGAGCCTTGTCCACCACGTGTAACGCCGTGGGAGAGATTTTCAAGATTGCAGCAATCATGAATGCTCTTACTCTTGTCGGTGTTGCTGTTGGATTCGTTCTTCTTCGAATCGAGACTTCTGTTGAAGAAGCTGAAGCAGAGTAAATAGAGTAAAATTGCTCTTTCTTATAATTATATATTTTTTTTTGTTATTGATGTTGTCAAGCTTCGGTATAACTTGATGGATACATGTTACATTTGTTTATGAAGCTCTTTTCTTGGTAGATGTTATTGGGAAGCCTCGCTAATTCATAACTCTGCATCTACTTAGCAGAGGATCATCTTGCTTGTGTCTACTTAAGAGAATTATAAAAATTTGCTCTTGCATGGACATTGTTACAGTTAGGATAGAAATCATAAGCTAGTAAAATCATCTAAGTCAATAGATAAAGTTGAACAATATGAGAAAGAATTGAGCATTGAACATCTCGATTAATTAACTCGTCATTCGCAACCCCGATGGTGCCCCTTGCGGGATGCTTTCCATTCATACAGATCATGCCTTGGGTTGCAATGCTTTATTAATGTAAGTGTTAGCCGCAAGCTCGGGTTATTGAAAAATCACGTGTCCCCCAATATATGGTGTATTTTGGAAGTTTGAAACATATGTGGGATCTCCAGCCTCTTCTCATTTTACAACCAAAATATGAAGGCATCCCTTGGAACGACCATTGGTCCCATGGTAAGTTCTCAGCGTAAGCCTTCTGCAAAACGCCTCAGTCGAACCCCTCCACGAGAAGCCCTTAGTAGCCGAACCCTCAGACGGCTAATCGTTTTTGGTTTCCCCAAGCACAAAAAGCATAAGAAAGAATTGCATTTGCCCATAATGCACCCCACAGTTACTAACAGAACTACTAGCTTTTTCAATATAAATACAGATCAAATTGATTAACTCATGAGTAGCCACTAGCGTAAGTTTGACTAGCTAGTAGCTTGTAGTCAAAACCGATTGTGTGGATCCTTCTTTGGTCGATTCAAAGTGATTTAGCGTTCACTTTGATCATAGCAAATACTGAAATACAACATGGCTCTATTTTGGGAACTCTTCTCATTTACCAGGTCAGAGATCACATCATCAAGTCTAACCATCCACATACTCGGGCCATAATTTAAAGGGCATAAACAAGATTAAATTTGCGGGCTTTTGTAAAACAAATTTTCTAGTAAGAATACATTTTAGAATCTTTAAAAATTAGAGAGCGTTATGAAACATGTTTTAAACATGTGATTAATGCATTACGTAATTACTAAAGAATATCTCCCTTAGACCATCTCCAATGCCCAACTCTATCTTTTACTCTAAAAAAGAATATTCTTAAATAGACTCTATTTATATTTAATTATTAATACCTTTTATTTATAAAACTTACAATTAGGCTCCATATATATTTACTTTTGCAAAACTTTCGTTAATCACTAATATTATTTAAATTGAACATTCATAAAATTTTAAAAAATTACATTGCATCATAAAAATAATAAAACATATTAGATTTTAATTTAAACATCACCATTAGTAAATCTTTCCCACAAATGATCAATTAACGCATTTCGAAGTGAGAAATGAGCTACTTTATCTTTGATTTTTCTAAATCGACCAAGAAACTCTTGGAATCGGATAATATCATTCCCTGTAGTCTCAACTTCTGGTGGTGGAACTTCTCTTCCAACTTCAATTGGTGCACTGAGATCACGTTCATCTTCAATTATCATATTGTGTAAAATTATACACGTCGTCATTATGTCATGTAAAACATTTTTTTTTTTTTTTGCAAAAACGAACCGGCCCTTTAACAATAGCAAAACGAGATTGAAGAATTCCGAATGCATGTTCTACATCTTTCCTATATGCTTCTTGTTGTGTAGCAAAATATTTTTTCTTTCGACCTATTGGCTCGTGAATAGTTTGTACTATGGTTGACCATTTCAGATAAATACCAGCAGCCAAATAATATCCCATATTATATTCTTTTCCTTGAATGATATAATGAACTTGGGGAGCAATACCTTGAGCGAGATTAGAGAAGAGGTGGGAAGACTCCAAGACATTGATATCATTATTAGTGCATGGTAACCCGAAATATGCATGCCATATCCAAAGATCATAATCTGCTACAACTTCAAGAGTTATAGTAGGTGATCCACTACGACCTGAATATTTTCCAGCCCAAGCGGTAGGACAATTTTCCACTTCCAATGCATGCAAGCTAGGCTACCAAGCATTCCTGGAAACCCTCGCTTTTCACCAATGTAAAGAAGTCTGGAAACATCTTCATGTGTTGGTGAGCGTAGGTATTTCTCTGAAAATATTTCCACTATAGCTCGACAAAATCTTTTCATGCTCTCGATTGTCGTTGATTCGCCTATCTTTACGTACTCGTTTGTGGCATATGCATGAAGACCATATGCTAGCATACGAAACACGGCTGTAACTTTTTGTAGAGACGATAATTCAAGCCTACCCATCACATCTCTTCTTTGTGTGAAGTAGTTGTTATGACCTTCAACAACATCGATAATACGAAGGAAAAGAGAACGCGACATACGATATCTCCTACGGAACATCGCGTCATTGTAAACCGGAGTTTCCAAAAAATAATCGTTGAACAATCTATCATGTGCACTTTCTCGATCACGATGGATGAAAGAACCACCGGGAACTGAACCACCATGGATTGCTTGATATTTTTGTCGACTGCGTAGAAATTGAATTACCGAATTGTTATTAGCAATGGCAAGATGTATTGCTTCTTATTCTTTGTCAAAATTGTCGAATGAGTTAATATTTTTATCATCTGATGATGAATACATTTTGAAAGAAAAGGTAAAGAAAACAAAGTAGTAAATATTTTTTGGATTTGGATTGTGATAAGTACTGTTATAGTTCTACTAGTATTTATAGAGCATGTCTCATCATTTTAAATCTTTTTATCGAACATGCATTGGTCAACAAAATTTCTTAATGTTATTTGTATTAGACTAGGTAAACTATAACCTGTCTATATTTTAGATTTATTTATTTATTTTTAAAAAAATATATAGTACGATCAAAATTGATAGGTTTGTAATTTTTAAGCAAAATACCATTTTCTACAAAACTCAGAAGGTATTATTGTGCTTTTTTGCTCAACCACCTAGTTAAACCAAACCTATTTATTGTCTTAACCCCATATAACTTACGTGACTGAATTTCTTATCCTTTTGTCTTTGGCGTTTTCTACTTGTAGTTTTTCAATAGTTATAATGTTTTACATTAACACCAATTTTACGTAGAGAGAAAGTAAAGTAAACTAACATGCATTGGTCAATTAAAGTCTACTATACAAATTGTTTACGATATATCATCCAAAAATACATTCTCATGAAAGTCAACTCTAAATATATAATGTTTTATGACAAAGACTTTTGTTTTTCTACCAATAAAATTTAATACAAACATCGGTTATCAACACCTTAGAAGAAGGAAATAAGAAATTTTTAGAGAAACTAAAGAAGACAAGCGCACAAAGAGAACATCAATTGGAGATTTAGAAAAAAATATATGCTTTGAATGAGTTAAAGGAGGAAAACAAAATTTTATTTTGCGATTTGAATTTCTTTCAAAATCCAAATGTTCATGAGTATTTTGAGAATGAACAAGCACGGATTTTACAAAAACGACGTGGTCAACAACAAGATCAAGAAGCTTCTCCTCCGTCTACTTTATTTTTATCAATATTTTAATGATCTTGCTGGATCCGGAAGCAAATTAGCGGAATATTAATTTGCTAGTTTTTATTATTTTAATTCTACTCTATGTAGCTTATTTTGCTTATTTTTAAATTGAAATTTGTTTCTATGGTTAATTTTATAAACTTGTGTTTCATTTTCGTAATAATACAAATTTTAATATGCAGTTTGAGTTACTAGATATCTCAATAATATTCAATACTAGCAGTTGATCCGCGCTATGCGCGGGAGGTTTATAATTTTGTTTTGTTATATTTTTATTCATATTATTATATTTTATTATCTTTTATAATTGATTTTCAAAAAATATTATAATTATTTTCTCTTTAATTATTATCTTTCATTACTCAAATTTGGATTAAATGCATTTGATTCAATTTATGAAATATCATTTATTTTTCTTTTTGATCATGTTATAAACTAAAATTTCACTTTCAGTTTTATTTTTACTCTTTATAATTTTATATATACAATATCACAATTACATAAATGTTGTTTTATTTTACCATAAATTTAAAATTTACTTCCATTCTAAAAATCACTAACATATTTAAAATTTTAAACTATGATCAGTTTAAAATGAAAGTTGAATTATATTATTACCACTAATAATAAAAAATTTGAAGTATTGTTTTTCTTATTTTAACATTTCATTTATTTTACATAATTTATTTTTATATGTATAAACTTTCTATTAATTAAATAAGTAACATAAATATGCAGTAAATGAATGTTTTAAACTTATTTTAATGTAAAAACAAAAATGTGCCTTAGGTTGATGCTTATGTGGCATCATGAGTAGAGAGAAAATCTAACTTTATATATATAGATGCAATAAAGAATAATTAATATAATATAGAGAACGTAATAAACAACAATAATTAAATTATATAATATTGAGATAGTGAAGAACAAAAGAAATAATTGAACAAGACAAAGTCAACGCTGTAGTTAAAATAATTTATGTTTATAAGTTGTATTTGTTGTGCTTCGTAAATATTGTAAGCGGTTATAAAAAAAGAAGACTTCAAATTTAGGGGACCAAAGTATAAATAAAAAGTTCAACTCTAAAATAGAGTTACTCTATATATAGAGCAATCTCTTTTTTTTTTTTCTTTTTTTTAGAGTAAAAAATAGAGTAGGGTTGGAGAAGATTTTGCTCTATAATAGAGTTTTTACTCTAAAATAGAGTGGGGTTAGAGATGCCCTTAGACATATATCCCCCTTGGCCATACATCCCCTTGGACTATCTTGTAGAATAAGTAACTTTATAACTAAGCTATGTAACACTACACATAAATGAACTTAGCTACTATTTGTGTAAGCTTAAGTGAAAAGATAATAAGATGAGTGAGATCTTCTCTATTCTCTTTAAGTTCTCATTCTCTCTTTGCTCATTGTCTTGTTTGATCTTCATTACTTATTTAGAGATGTAGTTTACAACACGTTTTCAACACGATGTCTTTACCGCCGGAGTTTTTACGAGGTAAGTAAAATTTAAATTGTTTT